TTGGCATTGGGTATATGTTGATGTAAGAGGGGTAGAGTGATTGATTATGCTTCTCATCAGCTGAAGCCCCATGAGAAGAACTACCCTGTCCATGATTTGGAGTTGGCTGCCATTGTTCATGCGTTGAAGATTTGGAGGAATTATCTCATGGTGTATCTTGTGAGGTGTTTACTGATCATCGTAGCCTCCAGCACTTGTTCAAACAGAAGGATCCCAATTTGAGGCCGCGGAGATGGTTGGAGCTGCTAAAGGACTATGATATTACTATTTTGTACCATCCGGGGAATGCCAATGTGGTGGCCGATGCCATGAGTAGGAAGGCAGTGAGTATGGGCAGTCTTGCATTCATTCTTGTTGGTAAGAGACCTCTTGCAGTTGATGTTCAGGCCTTGGCCAATCAGTTGGTGAGGTTGGATATTTCAGATCCCAGTCGGATCCTAGCTTGTGTGTTTTCTCGGTCTTCATTGTTTGATCGCATTAGAGAGCGCAAGTATGATGATCCTTATTTGTTAGTCCTCAAGGACAAGGTTCTGCATGATGATACCAAAGGTGTGACTATTGGGGATGATAGGTATTGAGGATGCAAGGCCAGATATGTGTGTCCAATGTAGATGGACTTCGGGAATTGGTTCTAGAGGAGGCTCACAACTCCTGGTATTTTATTCATCCGGGTGCCACAAAGATGTATCAGGATTTGAAGCAGCACTACTAGTGGAGGAGGATGAAGAAGGATATAGTTGGGTTTGTAGCACAGTGTCTCAATTATCAGCAGGTGAAATATGAACATCAGAGGACGGGGCTTCAGCAGATAGAGATTCCATAGTGGAAGTGAGAGCGAATCACCATGGATTTTATAGTTGGAATCCCACGGACTTTGAAGAAGTTCGATGTTATTTGGGTGATTGTGGATTGGCTGACCAAGTTCGCGCACTTCATTCTTGTATGTACTACTTATTCTTTAGAGCGGTTGGCTAAGATTTATATCTGAGAGATTGTTCGCATGCATGGTGTTCCAGTGTACATCATTTTAGATAGAGGTACTCAACTTTCTTCGCAGTTTTGGAGGGCCGTGCAGCGAGCGTTGGGTACTCAGGTGGAGTTGAGCACAACTTTTCACCCTCAGAGAGACGAGCAGTCCAAGCGTACTATTCAGATTTTGGAGGACATGTTACATGCTTGTGTCATTGATTTTGGAGGTTCATGGGACCCGTTTTTACCGCTCACGGAGTTTGCTTACAATATAATTATCAGTCGAGTATTCAGATGGCTCCATATGAGGCTTTGTATGGGAGGAGGTGTAGATCTCCAGTGGGATGGTTTGAGTCGGGCGAGGCTAGGCTTTTGGGTATAGACTTAGTGCAGGACGTTTTGGAAAAGATGAAAGTGATTCAGGAGTGGCTTCGTACAGTGTAGTCAAGACAAAAGAGTTATGCTGACAGAAGGGTTCGTGATGTATCTTATATGGTTAGGGAGAGGGTTCTATTGAAGGTTTCACTCATAAAGGGTGTTATGAGATTTGGGAAGAAGGGCAAATTGAACCCTCGGTTCATCGGGCCTTTTGAGGTAATTCGTAGGATGAGGGAGGTGGCTTATGAGCTTTCGTTGCCGCCTATCTTGTCGGGGGTGCATCCGGTATTTCATGTTTTTATGCTCTGAAAGTATATCGGCGATCCATCTCATATTTTGGATTTCAGCACAGTTCAATTAGACGGTGATTTGACTTATGATATAGATCTAGTGGCTATTTTGGAGCGGCAGGTTTGCAAGTAGAGATCAAAGGATATAGCTTCAGTAAAAATGCAGTGGAGAGGTCGGCCCGTGGATGAGGCTATTGGTAGACCGAGCGAGAGATACGGAGCAAATATCCACACCTATTTGAGGCTTCAGGTATGTTTCTAGACTCGTTCGAGGTCGAACGTTTGTTTAAGAGGGGGAGGATGTAATGACCCGGTTGGTCGTTTCATGAGTTACAGCTCTGTTTTCCCCGTTTTTGTTTTCTTCTGTGTTCTTCAGCTGTGTTTTATCATATCATGTTGGTTGATTTGGGCCCGGAGTGATTCTGGAGTGGAATAAGGCACTTAGCCTCCTATTTAGAAGCTTAAGTTGGGAAAAGTCAATCGGATATTGACTTATGTGTAAACGATCTCGGAATGGAATTTCGAGAGTTGGAGTAGCTTCGTAGTGTTATTTTTGACTTATGGGCAATATTTTAGGTCATTCGGAGGTGATTTGGTAGGTTTCAACATCGTTTGTGGAATTTGGAGACTTAGAAGTCCTTAGGCTTGAATTCGAGTGTGAGTTGGTGTGTTGTCGTTGTTTTGAGTAGTTCGGGGGTTCGACTAAGTTTGAGTGATGTTATGGGATGTGTTAGTATAATCGATTGAGGTCCCGAGGGCCTCGCGTGAGTTTTAGGTGGTTATCGAATCACTATTTGGCTTTGGGAGTTGGAAAATATCTGATATCTAGTGTTCTGAATGTTTCAAGTCTTGGATCATTGGAAGTGCGGTCGCGGTAGGAAGTTCACGGACCGCGGTGGAAGAACGCGTCCGCGGTAGGTGTTCGCGGACCGCGGTGAAGAGAGGAAGTCAGGTTGGCGGCCGCGATAGATTTTACGTGGACCGCGGCAGGCGAGGCTTAATGTCCGTGACCGCGAGGGAATTACGCGGACCGCGGTAAGGGTTACGCGGCCGTGGTGAGGAAAATGCGGACCGCGGGATGGAAGTTCAGAGAGCTATATAAATGAGGTTCTAGGGTTTTTATTTCACATTTTGGACTTTGGGAGCTCGGTTTGAGGAAAAGTTTTGGGAGTTTTTCAAGGAAATCATTGGGGTAAGTGATTCTAACACTGTTTTGGCTAATAATCATAAATATATCATTGATTTATTCTTTTGATTAGTAATTTGGGATAGAATTTGGGGAAAATTTGTGGAACTTCATAAAATGAACTTTTGGGATTTGAAAGCCGATTCGAAGTCGAAATTGAGTGAAACTAGTATGGTTAGTCTCATAATCAAGTGGATTGTCAAATTTTGTGACTTTGGTCGAATTTTGAGACGTGGGCCCGGGGCGCGTCTTTTGGGTTGACCTTTTTACTTTAGGTCTTAAACTTAGCATTTTCTTATGGGATTGATTCTTTTAGCTCGTGTTGATTGTATCGAATTGTTCATGGCTAGATTCGGAGTGCTCGAAGGTCGATTTGAGGGGCGAAGGCATCGTGGAGTAGGATTTTGGCTTGGTTCAGGTAAGTAACGCTTCCAAACTTGGTTTTGAGGGTTCGAATGCCCGAACTATGTGCTATATGATTGTATTGAGGTGACGCACATGCCAAGTAACGGGCGTGTGGGCGTGCACCGTAAAAATTATGTCTGGTTCATTCCATGGCACCGCTTAGTGACTCTTTTTTGCTGATACCATTGTTTCTATCATGTGACTAAGTAAATGTGCTACAAATCATGCTAGCTATCCTGTTAGGGCTTAACGCCGATACTGTTGAGACTCAAGTGGTTGTTTTTTGCTGCCATTCCATTAGATTCTTAGATATTCTGTACTCAGTCTTATCCATACATATCATATCATGTCTTAGTCTCGCTTGTTATTATTGGGCACCTCATATCATTGTCTCGGGCTAGTTTCATGGCATTGTGAGCCCACATGTGTGATATTGGAGAGTGATGATTGAGTGAGGCTGAGTGCCTGATTATGAGTGACAATTACGGGTCCGGCTGCACGCCGCAGCAGATTATTGATTATGCCTTCATTGGCTCGTTATAGTGCTTGAGACATAGGATCCCCTCCGGAGTCTGCACATCCACAATGGGTGCGAATGATATTATTGAGGGTTAGATTTCCCTGGACATGGATTTGTCCGAAATATGGTTATATGGAGATGGATTTCTTCACAGGGATGAATTTCCCTTTTTTCTTGGTACCGGGTGACTTATAGTCAGTGATGAGTATGTTCCGGGATGGATTTCCCTGGGCCGAATGGCCATATGCGGTACCGAGTGGTTGAGTGTGTATATCTATATATACCTGGAGATGGATTTCTTCTCAGGGTTGGATTACCCTTGTTTCCTCGGTACTGGATGACTTGCAGTCAGCATTGTATATGTTTCGAGATGGATTTCCCTGGGCCGGATGGTCATATGCAGTACCGAATGGTTGAGCACTTGAGAGTGGGAGCACATGTTGCATTTCATACATTCTGTGCATTGGCAAGTAGAGTTAGCTGAGCTTTATATTTTACATTGTTCAGATCTGTATTTATTTGACTGTTGAGTTGTATTCCTGAAAGAATAGCATGCCTACTTTACCGCACAACCTATTTCTATTTTTTGTTGAGGTTACGTTCGTCACTACCTATCAGTCTATAGGTTGGACTTGTTACTTACTGAGTTGGTGTATTCACGTTACCTCCTGTACCTTGTGTGCATATCCAAGTGCTTTCGGTCCCAGTGGCAGTCATTGATAGAGGTGCCAGGCTTGGGAGATTGTTGAGGTATCTGCATGGAGTTCGCAGAATCCTGACCCTCGTTCTCTATTCTAGTTGTGTTTCAATTGTATTAAGTAAACATTGTAGTAGACTATGTTTTTTTTCTCTAGACGCTCATGTACTCCGTGACACCCTGGTTTTGTTCTGGTTGAATCGTGTTATGAATTTTGCTTATGTTATGAACAGTTTATTTTCTTAAATGATAAACGTACTCTTCCGCAAATGTTCTAAAGTTTAGTGTTGTGGTTGATTTTTCGTTGAGTTGAGACTGGCCTAGTTCCACGATAGGCGCTATCACGACGGATTTAGTTTGGTCGTGACACTCCAATAATTTCACATGACTAAATCTAACAATGGACTATCATAGTTCTAAAATGAATCACGAAAATTAACGGAGTGTCACACTAAATATCTTATAAAGAAATTGTTGTAGTTGGTTATTATTAAAGGCAGGTTTGGGACTCCTTTAATTTGAAACAAGGTATATATTTGGAGTAAAAGAACGGAATTCATTCAACAAGAAATAATAAATAAAATAAAAATACAACATACTCATACGAAAACACATATTTTTCGTAATAGTAACACCTTAGACTATTTGCATCTTTTGGAGTTTATCATATCCAGCACATATTTATTCAGATTCCAGAACAATAGATAGTCACTTGTATTCTTTACCTTACACATGACACAAAGCTTAAAACGGAGCAAGTAAAAATAAAAAGACCACAAAAATTGTATTTATGAATTCGACCGATTATTTGTGTAAAATCATTTTTATCATATGAGATTCAAATCCTGGGATAGCATCTCATTGTAATATCATAATGATTATGTGCCGTTCGACATTGCCTACACTCTGAACCTCTGTTATTGCAATTTGCATCAGATTTGCAGAGGTTGTAACATCCTTTTTTATTAGTAAGATCTGGTACTAGAATTTGCTCAATCACCTTTTCTTCTAAAGGTAAGTCTCGCACCGCCATCGCCCCAGTGTTTGAATGAACTGCATAATATATAATCAATCAAATTAATATAAGTAGAGATACATAATTATACAAAGAATTAACCTAAATAGCTATATAACCTACAAGGGGCGGATCTAGTGTTAGGATAGCGAGTTCATCTGATCAACTCAGTACTTGCGATTCAGAGTATATATTTGTGTAAAAAGTCACTAAAATTATAAAATATAATAGATAAAAGTCCATAACATAAAAGATTTAATGAATTTAATGCTAAAAACCTTAAAAATTATAGAGTTTAAAATCGGGTCCACCTCTCTAACAGATTACTAAAAATAACCAACGAAAATTTAATATAAATATAATTTATATAATATGTGTATAATACTATAATTATATATAGTCAAAATATAATTTATGTATAATAATTAACAAAAAGTAAACAATAAATTCAGCAAGCTATTTATCTAAAGATATATATATATATATATATATATAAGTGACTAAGGGATGATGAAGTTACTCACCAGTTAGTGCCACAAGGAGAACACAATAAAAGAAAGCGAACTTGTGAGCCATTTTAACAGAGTTTGGAGTAGCTGATTGCGAGAAGAAGAGCTAATTGTGTGAGTGTATTTTCTTGGTTGATGAAAGATTACATATATATATATATATAGGTTTTTAAAAATTTCTTAAATATATGAAAATATATATCTTAAAACCTATATTATCCATTGCTAGTGTCCCATGTGCATTCTCTCTCCGGCGGCTAAAATATATAAAGCAGCCAAGGATGAATAGTTTTTATTATAAAGAATTAGTTGTTTGATACAAGATTATTCATTATTGTAGCACACAATATTTTATTTATATAAAATGCACTAGTTGCTCAAGTGAAAGACCGCCTATAGTCAAAGAATTGAAAGTGCTTTAGGCACTTCTGTAGAGAAAGTCATAAAATACATTAAAATACATATTTTAACGGCGGCTTTTCTTTGATCTATCACACGAGGAGAGCTACAATGTCGAGTGCGGATTCAGTTAAACTCAATTTTTACTTTAAATATTGTATTTATTTGAAAAATACATTAAATATATATAAATTATTAATTTAAAGTCTAGTAACTTAAGCCGATAAAAATCTCGAGCCTATAAGCTTGAAATTTTGATTTCCACCTATGATTGATTATATTTTATTTGAGTGGAGGCTTTTCTTTGATCAATTACAGGTGCGGAGCTAGAGTGCGGAGAGCGGGTTCAGCCGAATCCAGTAACTTTGGTTCGAATATTGTATTTGTCTTAAAAATTCAAAGATATATATACATTATTAATTTAAAATGCAGTAACTTAACAGTAACTTAAGACGATTGAAATCTCGAACCCATAAACTTGAAATCTTGATTCCGCCTCTGATTTATTATATTTTATTTTAGTGGTGGTTTTACTATGGAAGCACCTAAGAAGATTGACTTTTAATAACAAATAAAGATACTATATTGTAAGGACACTAGCAGTAAATAGAAAAGGTTTTTAGATAGATATATTTTTATATTTTTACAACTTTAAGAGGCGTTATATATGTCCTTTCATCAATCAAGAAAATCCACTCCCACAATTAATTAGCTCTTCTTCTACTCCAAACTCTTGTTAACATGGCTAAGAAGTGCCTATCTCACAAGCTCTATTTCGTTTTTTATGTTCTCTTTGTGGTACTAACAGGTTAGTAACTTCATCTTCTTTTATTCCCTTGGTAAAGTAATCTAAAAATTTATTTATACTGACGACAATGTATACTCGTTATAATGCAGTTCATTCGTTTTGGTCCTCAAACACTCGAGCAATGGCTTTGCGAAACCTACCTTTTGAAGTAGAGGTTATTGAAAAGATTCTGCTACCAAACAGTCTTACATATACTCAACGTTGTTGGGACCGTTGTGAAATTAATTTTGATTGCAGAAAATTGCCAGGTTGTGGGTATTGTAGACGGCAGAGTTCTAAATCGCCGTTTAAGAGATGCTTGACTCCACGTTGACCGATTTGAATCTCATATGTTATAAAAGTTTTTAACTATTATTGCATTTTTACTCTAATTTCCAGCTCCTTCTCCTTTTGACCTTTGTGTCACTTGTAAGATATAAAGTACGCAGGGATAAGCCGTACAACTTTTTGTAAGTGAGGTCGTATTTATATAAAAAAAAAAAAATAATAAGTATTATTTAATATCATTTTCCAACAAGTAATTGAGAGCCTTTGCACAATGATTTGGTTGAATATTATTTGCAAATGGAGTTATAGGTATGATTCCACTTAGCCTCAAATTTTACAAAAATGCTCATTCAAAGATGTTTAAAAGAAGAATATCTAGGTCCAACCTCAAACTTAGGGGTGTACAAAGGAAACCGACAAATCGCACTAACCCGATAATTCGAGTCAAACCGAGAAAAAAACTTGACTATGCTTTGGTTTGATTTGGTGGTGTTGGAAAAACAACCCACTATAAATGATTTGGTTTGGTTTTAACTAAAGAAAGTCAAACCGAAACCAAACCAAACCGACATTACATATATAGAAATTTTAGATATATTTAATATATAAATATATTTATTGTGATGTAATATATAAATATTTCTTAAACTTTTTCATAATATTATTTTTTAAGATATTATTTCAAGGTTAGATTTAGAACTTTTGAATGTTCCAATAAGTTTTATAATCATTAATATTAGTAACTTAAATAATGCTAACAAAAGCCCAAAATCTCAAACCAAAATCAAATCAATATTAATGCTAACAAAAGACATTCAATTCAATACTATGAACCACAATATATTGAATATCTATTTTTTGTTTTGCAATAATTTAGATAAAAATGCATAACCTATTTTTATTTTTTCTTTAGCGTTTAGTCATGTAATTAATACTCCCTTATTAATCTACTTATTTTAGCATGACTTAGTACTTTTAGATTATGTTTATTTTTATTATGGCTTTTTAATTGGCAATATTTATATTACATAATTTTATTATTTCTATTGTTGAATATTTTAGAATAATTCCATGACACATCTCATATTTTGTATTATTTTCTTGGAAAATACCTTATATAGTTGTATCTTACTAGGATTAACGAAATATTTTGAGCACAAATTATATATTTTGTGCTACAAAGATTTTACCCGGAAAAAAACTTGAATAACCCGAGAACCCGAAAAAATCGAGATTGAAAAACCCGAGTTATATTTGTTTGGTTTGGTCTTTAAATTTAATAACCCTACACAATTGGTTTGGTTTGATAATTGCAAAATCCGAACCAACCCGACCTATATCACCCCTACTCAAACCTACAATCTTTACTAAGGTCAAATATGAGCTTGATAAGTGAACCAAGAAGTACTCTTCGCCAATAAGCGCTATCATCATTATATAGTTACTTTTGCAGAATATTAGTGGAAGCAACAATATTAGGTGATTTATTCTCATCTATTCAAACTTTGATGGACAGATATTCGATACATATGTTGATGGAACGTAATAGATACCTTATGGAATTAGTCGTAGACTATTTCGTGTGAGAGATTCAAATTGGTCATTTCCAGGACCAAGCATCTGATGTTAGATCTTATTATCCTTTTGCTTACTAATTACTATAGTGCAATCGATATATTGCGTACAAACTGAACCTGGAAAACTCTGGCAAAACGAATGAGTTGTGCAACATTTGCCATAAGATTTCCCATTGGTAAGATCTGGGATTAGAATCAGCTCAATCATCTGAACTTCTGAAGATAGGTCGCAGAGCCATCACTAGAGTGTTTGAGGACCAAGATCATTGAACTGCATAACATAACATAACATGATCCATCAAATTAGAAGAATTATCCTAAATATTGCTCACCAAATCCTATAAACTAAGGATTCGGCGGACAAGGACCGAACTGCCTTCGTCAAAAAATTATATTATGCAAGGTCTGCAAGGTCCGAACTCCTTTTATCGATCGATCAGTCAAGATGGTTTTTGGACGCTAATATAATGGTGTTTTATATTTAGAATAACTAAACTAATGATAATCTTCCTTATTTTATTTGGAATCTTAAGTAGCTCAATTCTCATCTTTACTATGTGAGACAACCCTCTGTTCAAGACCTAGAGGGTGTTTGGATTGGCTTTTAAGCTGGCCAAATCAGCTTTTAAGCTCTTTTTAGATTTTTCAGTGTTTGATAAAGTTAAAAGTGTTTAAAATAAGCCAAAAGCAATAAGTTGGGCAACCCCAACTTATTGCTTTTTGGCTTAAAAGTTATTTCTCAGAAAAAACCACCTTTTTAAGCCAATCCAAACGGGCTCCTATTCAAGATCAAGATCGATATTTTCTGGATCATGTCTAACCTTGATCCAGAAGGAGATTGGCTAAGACAGGAAGCTCGGGCTGACGAGCGCAAAACACAATACAAATCGATGCTCGCTAGCCAAAGATAGTATAGTATGATTGTTGTCTCCACAAGGATTGGATTTAAACAATGCTCTAGTAATTCCTGGTTTAACTGCTATTCAGGATGATCAAAACTTGATTGGAATGACTACGAACTACGATTAACTACTAAAGTAAAGCAATTGGCAATTGACGGCAAAGACATAGAGATTAGCAGAGCTGGTTTCTTATCAATGTGAGAAATAAGGGTTTTGACACGATAGGTGCAAGATTATTATTCTATATATGATACTGTTATATTTCACTTTTGAGGTTCTATTGATTCTCACGAATTCAAGAATTTGATTAGCTTATACTTCCGATTCAGACTCCTCTCTCGATTAAATCTAAATCTTTCAAATAAACTAATGTGAAGTGCGGTGAAACTTAAGAATCTATTGATAGGAATGATCTAAGAGAAACTTCTCGAGAATATGTCTCAATCTTAATTTAAACGGTAACTCAAAAAGCTCTCTGGATTACTTCAAAGAATCACCAAAATAAACTAAGGCATACGCTGTAATAATATTTAATAAGATGTTCCTCTTCCGATTAAACACTATAAAGAATAAAATCACAACTATATTAAAGTTCCTCCAATAAATTCAAGCAATTAAACAGTGGTCAAATCCATAAGTAATAACCAAGTCACCAAATTATTTCAAACTCTAAGATAAACTACTCCATAGAGATATGGAGAAAGCCATCACAAAAAGAGTTAAAGAATAAGAAAGCTTCAATCTAACGTTACAATCCAAACTCCCGTATTGAATTGATGGAAAGATGATGAAATCATGTGTCTTGTAGCCTCCAATGCTCTTCATAAGCTTCCCCAGTCAAAAGTCCTCCAAAAATCATATTTTTGGTGTATTTATAACGTGCAGGAACGGGTCCGGATATATGAAACTACCCTTTCCAAGCTGAAACAGGAAAAATAATCTGAGAATTTTGTATACGCGCGTCTCGCCTAGCGCCGCACCATGCGGTGCACTAGTGGGGATGTTCATAGAGCAGTTTCTGACAGGTGGCAGTATATTACATTGTCGCACCGCCCCATGCGACACAACAGTAGGCTTTTTATAGAGTATTTCGTTTTCTTTACTTTTTGACATCCAGACTTGGCTCCCGACCCCCGAGCGATCCCTGTTAAATTTTTTATGGGCTTTTACTCAGACTTCAAAGCTCCAACTTGTTCAATTT